AAACTCAAGAGAGACCATTTGCCATCAGATGCTGGACAATATTCTCCTGTCGCCCCTCCACCCCCACCTCTCTCTACCGGGATACAATCATATGATGGAAGAGAGAGAGACCGAAAGGGTTCCATGATGCAGCGTGGGGATTACTTGGAGGAACCAGGGGTGCGGATTCATGGTAAAGAAGCAACCAGCAAGATGACTCGTCGCGACACAGATTTGTATCCTTAAAAAATGCAGTGTAAATGCATATTAGCCCGGTACACATTGCCCTTGCATAAACTATTGTTCTATTGCAAATAGAAAAAAAGGTGGTATATTTCCTTAATGGAAGTTCAGGATGTACGGACCTGAGCAGAAGCGGAGGCACCGGAAGTAAGATGTGGAATTCACGGAGAAACAAATTTCATTTACAGAGAGTTGATGGTTGCTTGCTGTGAGGTTCTTTACCACTCCTTGTCCATATGGCTGCCTTCAATTTTTCTGCTTTTTGGTCTCTCTTTGGAGACGAGGGTTTCATGATTGTACAATTTCTTTTGGAAAGATATTGTAAATTCGTCAGCATTCTGTACTGTAGTAGTGTAACTATAATACGCTTTTTTTTTAAAAAAACAGTTTTGCTTGGAAAATGTAAAAGCTTCATATTTTTCTGCATAGTAGCTGAAGCTTGAATTAGGCAAAGCAAACTGAGTTGGAGCTTATTTGGCGAAAGAGGTTCTTTAGTTTAATTAGTTTATTTTGACTCGAAGTATTCTACAGAAAATAAATGGGTTTTTTGATGTCACTGTAAAAATACAATGACGGTCCACTTCACCTTACACAAGAATCAATATTTATTTAGTAGTTTCTCTTATTAAATTCAACGGCGACCAAGTTTAAGACATCATTTTTAAATTTTGGTTTATAAAATAAAGGGAACTTGAGGTATTTTTTTAGATACTTTTTTTACATTCAAGGTGGGTTTCAGACTCCGAAAAAGAAGTTGATGTGGCCTTTTAATCAATGGTTTTTGTTGTTGATTGATGATATTGATGTGATATTTAACAGTGTTGGTGTGACAGTCTATGATATTGATGTGACAATCTACGATAACTAGTGATCTGATTGATAGTATGGTGGGTAGGCTAATTTCTTTTTTAAATTTGAAGGTCAAATTAATTTTTTTAAAAGTTCACGGATTTAATTGATTTATAAAAAAACAAATATTTTAAATTTAAAATAAAAATATATCATTAATTATTAGTATTATTTGTTAAATAAAAAATTATATTTAATTTCAAAATATTATTATTTAATTTACTATTTTATTTTTCATTGAAATTACAAAATCTTTCCCTATATAAGTTATGAATTCTTGACTATATTTATTAAATACTCAATTAATGGTATTACGGTACTTTCAAGTAGCTTAACAGCCTCGTAGAAAACACCGACATAAACTCCTCGACATTCTTTGCTCTACTCAAATATTTTGTTCTATAAGCAACCGAAAGTTGTTTAGCACAATCCAAACAGAATTTTTACAAAGAGAAACTAAGCCACATTTAAATAGGGAAGTGCATTTCCTATTGGACGGGCTGCCACTCGATAGGTCTCATATAACAACTTTGTATATGTCTTGGAATAAATTGAGTTTTTTTTTTTTTGATAACACGAGTAACAGTAAGATCAACTAAACCTAAGTAACTTCTGCGTCTTCATGCAGCACTCCTAAGATCGCTTCTGGGTACTAGAAACTTCACTCCCTCCGGTTTATTGCTTTCAGCGAGCGACGCCAGACCATCCGCAACACGATTACTTTAACGAGGTACGTGTTGGACTTGAACAATCCAATCCCGGTTCATAATTTCAGCAATATGCTGCAACAATGTGACTCGAGCTGAGCCTTCACCAAGCTGCTTGACAGCCATGACCGCCTCTAAGCTATCGGATTCCAATATAATCTCTGTTACCAAGCTCCCAAGCAAAATTAAGGCCTAAATACATACTTCATGTTTCAGCTTCAAAGACCGAGCAATTTCCAAGGAATCTTGAAAATCCTACCTGCCATTCACCCCTCTCATTTCGAGCCACACCACCACAAGCAAGGGCACCATTCGCTTTGTGTCTTGATCCATCAGTATTTACTTTGAGCCACCCCGCCGGAGGATGCACTCATCGAGCCTTTCTATTTTCCCTTATCATCGCTGTTGTCATGCAACTCCCTCCTTCTCCATCGTTCTAACCATAATATCAAACCATTGTCTACTACAATCAAGTACCGTCCTTGTATCTGTCATCGGATTATCAAAAGCAACCGCATTCCGATGAAGCCAAAGATTCCAAACAATAATTCCAATAATATATCCCAATGCTCCCCATTCCCGTCGATTCCTTTCGGGCTGCCTAAATTCCCGATAATCCAATCTTTCAGATTCATGGTTAAAAAACTAGATAATTGGTTCTGTTGTACAATCACACTCATTTAAAGGACAAAGCCTCGGCAGATGATGTTTTCATCTGGTGCCGCACATAAAGGACAAGAACCATCGACCGTAAAATGTCTCCGTTTTCTGTCCGCATTCACCAAGGCTCTATCGCGGCTCACATTTAAATAGGGAAGAATTTTGTAATTTCAATGGAAAATAAAATAGTAAATTAAATTAAATAGTAACATTTTAGAATTAAATATATTCTATTTTTATTTAATAAATAATACTAATAATTAGTGGTATTTTTATATTTAACTTTTTTTAATACGTTAATGTTTTAAATTTAAAATATTCGTATATTTTTAGAAAAAATCAAATGAACCCTTAAACTTTTATAGAAATCAATTTGACCCTTAAACATGAAAAAACCAATTTAGTCTATATGGCATATTATCAGCTATCGTGGACTTTCACGTCCGTACCGTGGATATCCATATTAGCATCGTGAAGTGTCACATCAATATCGTAACAATCAATGACGGAAATCGTTAGTCAAAAGGTCACATTGTGTTCTTTCTCTTATTCAAAGGATCATATTGTGCTTTTTTTCAAGTTCGAGGATCATCGTGAAGTGTAAAAGAAATTCGAGGTACATATTGATTTTTTTTTGGGAAAAATACAAACGCCTCATATCATGTACCCTTTTACCTAAAATAAAATACAGAAGAATTTTGGTATACAAAGTATGTCGGGGTATATTTCTTATTAATCTATCGGTCAAACTCAATTGATTTTTTTCAGGAAAACTCGACAGGAATTTTTGTGTAGGATAAAAATAGAAGGTTTATTTGAAATTGAATTTAGAATTAAACGTTAATAAACATAAATTAATATCTTTTATTAATATATCATAAATTTAATATCTTAGTAATTTGATTAATAATTTTTTTATTATTCTTTATTTTTATGCTTTAAGTAAAATTTTAATAAAGTTAAAGTTTAAATATTAACATTATAAATAAAATAAATTGAATTCTTTACAATAAATCTATGCAATACTTTATTAGAATTAATCGGTTAATGAATGAGATATCGATGATTATAAATTAAAAAAAATCTTTCCTCTTTTTTAATGAAATTCAATTATTATTTTTTTGTAAAAAAATTCAATGATATTTTAAAACATAATTAATGGAGAAATTATTGCAATCTAATTTTGTAGTTTTTGTTTCATAATTTTTTTAGTTTTTTATTTAATCATTTTCGAATATGCACCATTAATTAAATTGAATTGTTTTTTTATAAATATGGTTGAATATTATTTATTTAAAGATTCTCAACTCTCGTATAAAAAAAAGAATCAACTCTTTGATAATAAACACTTGTTTGTCTATATATAAGGTGTTTTAATCCGAAACTTCAATTTAATTTACTTTTTTTAATAGTACAGGTGATTAGATTTCGTTTATTATTTTCAATTGTACATTGAATAAAGTTTTACCATGAATAATAATTTTGTTAACAAAATCTTTATTGTAACTCACATCTACATGCACCAATTATTTATTTATGAAATATCATTTTTATTTATTAATATATAAATTATTTATATTGATTTTAAAAAAAAATGTCATACATTAATAATATATAAATTAATTATATCGATCTAAAAAAATCATACATTAATAATATAGACTAATTATATTTATTTATTTATTAGTAGTTGATGAGAATTACTAGTTTTTGGTTATTTAATCATGATTTCTATCATTCAATTTTTTTAAACAAATTAATAATAGCCGTCGGATCAGTTTTAACTGTCCAATCAGAATGATTTATTTCCTCACCAAATGGCACAAAATTACTGTATTTTTTATTTTATTTTTCACTGAACATTCCTTAGAATATCACTTTCTCTGTTTTCTCTCCCCAGTTTCCACATTCTTACAGTCTCTCTTCTCCTTCTTTTTTCCTCAATTTCTCTTTGCAAATTGCATTCATATGAGTATTGATCAGAGCAAGTGAGAAAGTATATAATCCAATTCAAAGCGAAGAAATGGTGAGAATTCTGCCTCTTTTTTGTTTTTCTCTTTCCGCCGATGTTAATTCTGAAGTGTTGAATGACGCGTATTTGTTTATTGGTTTTCGGTCTTTGTTTTACTTGACTATCAGGGATAAAGGACCTGTTTGGTTTCCAGGAAAATTTAGATAAATACAAAGAAATACAATCTTTTTTCAATATTGTATTTATTACAGCAATTGTATACTCGCGGAAAACAGACTGTAAACTTTCTTGGGTTGATTTAATTTTGTTGAAACTTTCAACCATCTTCATGAATTCAGCTACTTTATTCTTGGTGTTTGAAATTTTGAATCTTGAATACTGTAGTTTATTAAAATTTGAATGAATTATACGTCTAGTCGGTATATTCACATTGAAAGTTGAATCTTATGCATTGTTTATTAGCTTCACCATTGTGTTTCCATTGATTTAAACTTGGATTAGTTGTTATAATTTCAAAAGAAAAAAAATTAGAACTTTATTTCAAGGCTCATTTGATATTTAATGAATTGAATTTGGTATTGTAGGTTGGTTGTGTTGTACATTAATCAGAAAACAGATTGGCTTACTACCCTTCTGGAAAATGACTTCTTTGGTCTTTACTTTGATCACCAAGACCTAAGAAAAAAATGAAAAAAATGTGTTCCGCATCAACTGTTGTCTCGAGTTTTGCCGGCATTGCAAGGCTCATAGCCAGCACCAGTCGCTTCAGATCTGCAAATACGTATACCAAGATGTCGTTCGCCTTCAAGAAATGCAGAAGCATCTCAACTGTTCGAAAATTCAGGTTTTCCATACCTCCACTACTCTTGAGGTTTGAAGTTTTCATGATAATGGTAATCAATGAAGTAATTCTTCATGTTTTTCGGGATAAGTAGTTCTTATTAATTTTTTTTCTCCAATTGTTACTGATATATGCATAGATGGCCACGAAATTGTGATGATCAAAGATTTGAAATCAAAGAGAGAAGATCTTCATATCATTATGTTTGCTGAAACATCCAAATTGCTTTTCCCTGTTCTATTACTGAATTGCTTTCTAATTATTTTGCACATTTTCAACTTCTAATTTACTCAAGTGATTGCTTTGATTGCCTTTTACTTTTTCTCTTTTGATGAACTTTAGTTGAATAGGAATGATCATCATATACAGTTTTATTTACTGGAATGTGTTTTAATTATCTGACAGAGATACAAAGTCAATGGTGAAAAGGCTGTACATTTGAATCCAAGGCCTCAACCCAAAGGCGCCAAACCATCAACGAAATCGAAATCCGGTTCAGCCTGTGAAGCTTGCGGAAGATACCTTGAAGACCCACCTAATCGTTTTTGTTCCATTGCATGCAAGGTATAAAAGTTAGCTTTGGGTTTCATTTCTTGGAACTCAAATTTTCCACTTTAATTCCCATCTAAAACTGAGACCATAACCTAATCAATGTTTTTTCAGGTATCAGCTGTTGATGTGAAGCCTAATGGCCAAAGCCATAAAATGGGATTACAAATACAGGAAATTCAGAATCTTTCATTAAAAGAAAATCAAAATTCCGGATCAAGTTCGGAGGGAAAGGAATCGACGCTCTCGTCGACGGATCTTTCGGAAGAGAAGACCAAAACACGAGTGACCGAAAGTTTAAAGCCTCAAAAACAGTTGAACAAGAGGAAAGACACTCCTCAAAGGTCTCCCTTCAGCTAATACTCAAAACAAAAGTTACTTGAAAAGAAAAGATGCTACATTTCAATGGAGTTTGAAGAAGATTAGTCCCGACCATTGTCATGATCTTAGAAAGTGCATTAATTTTCTTGAGATTGTACAGCATATACAAAGGGGAGAAAATATGGGAAGCCAGCAGTGTTTTGAAATGGATTTTGAGCTTTGTATTTGACAGGTTTTACTTGATCTATTATATATTTTTTTTCTTTAGGTGAAATGGTTCAATAGGATGTTCTTCAGACTTCACTACACCCCAAACATTGTGTTTCTTTTATACTAGAAATTTTCGTATCCTTTAACAGTTTTAAATTTGAGGGCAAACTGCACTGGTAGTCCCTAAATTTTTAGGATGCTTGCATTTTGGTCACCAAGCTTTTAAATTTTGCATTACAATTGTTAAAGTTTTAATATACTTTTTTTTATAACATTGGAAGAAAACTAGAAAGTTATAAATTTCTACATAACATGAGCTTTTAACATATCTCGAATATGTTGATGCAGTCCATAGCAATCATCTTGTAAAATTTGAACAATCATCTCAGGCGGAGTATGAAACAAATGATATCCGAAAGAGAGGTACCAAGCTAACTTGGCTAAACCATCAATCGATATGTTACTTCCACTACAAAAATGATTAAAACATAGTTTTCACTCACGATTTAACAACTCACCCGTGTGTGACAGTAACGATGAACTAGTATTATTCAAGATTGTTTACTCTAGTAGTCTTATAGCTTTTAAACTGTCCGTTTCAAAAGTTTAGTGATTAATCTAATAATGATTAATTTGCCTGTGTTACTATCACTACCATCTTTATATGAAAGTTTGGTGATTGTAATGTAAGTTTTAAAAGTTTGATGACTAAATGTAAATGCTTTAAAAGTACATGGACTATCAGTATAGTTTACCCTTTAATTAATTTATAGCATTTGTAATAGTTTAATATGAAATCTACTCATATATGGCCTTAATAGAATTTAATTGCTATGGGACCTTAATGTTTGTAATTGAGTAGGCAATGGCATTCGTAACTATGTAACAGTGGTAGGAGTGTTTAATAGGTAGGTTCCGTAAATCGATCAAACAAACTTCTAAAAATTCATTAATAAAATTTTTATTAATAATTAATTGAACCTAAAAAAAATCAAAATAATTAATCGAATCGAACGAAGTTCTGTTAATCGGTCTGTTAATTAAATTAATCAAAATTTCTTAATAATATATAATATATATCAAATATATAATATTTTCGATTAATTCAGTTAATTTGGTATGTTGATTCGGTTAAAATTGAAGTTTAAATACTCTTAATATTAATGAGCTGAGCTGACCCTTATTCCCATATGTAATAGGATAAGGGGAGGTAGGATAGTAGGCTGCTCCCAACGTCAGGTTGAGAGCAGCTTCCGTGGAGACCTCCAAATTATGAATTGCCCCCCGTGAAACTCGATCCAACGACCCCAAGAGTAAAAGCATTGTGCTCTACTAACTAATTGAATCTAAAAATAACCGACCAATTAATCGATTAGATATTTAATCATTTTAATTAATTAATCGATTTGGAATCGAATTAACCAATAACTAAAGTTTAAAAAAATTATTAATTATTAACTGATTGAATCTAAAATTAACCGACCAATTAATAATAAAAAACTTGGATTCGATATATTAAATCAGTTAAAACCGAAAGTTTGGGAGAGGTTGTTCTCAATTCAATCAAGCTTTGTCAGTAATGGTATATTATTTTCGTGTGATCTTGGGTGAGACCCGTTCTCCTCAATATGGCATCAAGGCCTTGTTTATAGTTTTTATCTGCATATAAACATGGGTAGTTATGTTTTACGGTAGTCTTAATATGCAATTAAGAAAATGTTTTATCAGAAATATTAATATTTTTTTAATATTTTCGGTAAAACGTTATCTAAAATATTATTTTTTACCGAAAATATTAATTTCTCGAACTAATTTTTGGTAGAACCCAATATTAACATTTCTGGTAGAAAAAAAATAATATTTTAAGTAATGTCCAATATTAACATTTTCGATAGAAAAATAGTGTTTTAAGTAACGCTTTATTGAAAATGTAAAAAAATATTAATATTTGCGATATTGTATTTTTTTAATCGTATATGAAGGCATCCTATGAATGTGGCAGACAAAATCAGCTGTAAAAATTCAAAGATGTGTTTGTGAAAGGAGCTAAAAAAGTCTCGTTGCTTGTTCAACTTGACAACTTTTAGGGGTTGTCTTAGGAAAGGCAAACTAATATACGAATAATATACGGCGTTATCAGATACATTTTAAGATATTTAACAAATTCGGTTACTGCTACCAGAAATGTTGAGTAATAATAATGTTGTAGGTAGAAATCATGAAGAAATATTAAAAAAATTGGCAACCAGAAAACTTAGCTTGTCGGTATGTATCGATACAAATAAAAATATATCGATCCATAACAATATAACATGTAAAAATATGACAAAATCGGTTTCATTATGACAAAACCGGTAAAGCGCTACTGGATATGTTGAAAGTATCGATTCCATTGAAATAAGTATCGACACTTTTGGAATTTAAAAGATAAGCAGTAATAGCGTCTATAAAGTGTCGATACTTTATAAAAATGTATCGATCCATAACAATATAACATGTAAAAATATGACAAAACCGATTTCATTATGACAAAACCGGTAAAGCTTTACTAGATATGTTGAAAGTATCGATTCCATTGAAATAAGTATCGACACTTTTGGAATTTAAAAGAGAAGCAGTAATAGCGCCTATAAAGTGTCGATACTTTATAAAAATGTATCGATCCATAACAAAATAACAGGTAAAAATATGACAAAACCGGTTTTATTATGACAAAACCGGTAAAGCGCTACCAGATATGTTGAAAGTATCGATTACATTGAAATAAGTATCGACACTTTTAGAATTTAAAATAAAAACAGTAATAGCACCTATAAAGTGTCGATATTTTTAGAAAAACGTATCGATACATAACAATATAACAGGTAAAAATATGAAAAAATCAGTTTCATTATGACAAAACCAGTAAAGTGCTACCATATATGTTGAATGTGTCAATACTTTAATAAGTACGCGTAATAAATTATCGATACTTTTAAAAGAAACATGTAAATATCCTATCGAAAGTATTGACATCTGACATAAAAGTATCGACACTTTGGTAATTGTATCGATTAAATATAAATAACATATCCGGTTAAAATATAAAAGGCATAGCTAAATTTCTTTTGAAAATATATAAAGAGACGGCCGAGTTTTTGAAATCGAAGCGTAATTGTTGCTGCATTTCAGAAGGCGATTTTAAAGCGAATTTTGTTTGTTTGTTGCTACAGTCGAATCGAAAAGTACGTTGTCGAAACCCTAGTTTTTTATTATTACAATAATCAGAAATAGGGGTTTTATTTGTTGTTTGGGGTTTTTAAAGTAAAGAAGCATTTGAGACCGATTACAGGTAGAAAGTGATATTCTAGGTAGATAATAAATATTGATACTTTTATAAAATATTATAGGTAAAAAATGATAATGTAAGTTGTATAGAGTATTCTCATTCGTTTGAAGAAAATAGGGATTAGAGTTTTTGGGTTTGATTTGGGGATTTCAAAGCCAAGAAGGATTTGGGACCGATTATATAATATTATAGGTAGAAAATAAATATTGATACTTGTATATAATATTATAGGTAGAAAATGATATTGCAGGTGTATAAATGTGTCGATACTTATAGTAGTGGCCATTTAAAATCTTTTGAAGGAAACCATTTTACTACAAGAGTAGTTATCGATATTTGCATATTGAATAAATTGTATGTAACCAGTATTTGATTTTGATTTGTGTAAACTGATATATGAAGGAACAATGAAGTCAATGGATCTTGCAATTGTTGATCGCGAAGATGACTTTGAAATTGAGGCTAAGAGTTGAAAGCAACCAAAGGCTGGATATATGTACTTCTAGTAAGTATCAATGTATTTTTGTTATTATTGTTGAAATGGTAATTGGATTAAAGCATTTAAGAACTTTAAATTGATTACAAATTTTAAATGTTGACAGTATGACCGAATGCCAAAGGATGAAGGAAGCTGGCAATCACATCGATTCGGTATATAAAATGAAATTGACATTGAGTATTATTTAGCGTTAATGCATTGATTAAGAAACTTTTATGCTTAATTTTAGGTGAGAAATTATGTGTTGGAGAAATGGAAGTCGATGACTGATGCTGAGAATGAACCTTACTTGACACGGTCAAATATGGATAGACAAGAATACAAAGCTTGAAGGAAAGCACATGAAAAGAAAGTATTCATTAAACTTGTAAATACTTTGATAAAAGATATATAAGAACAATAACATTATATATTTTTAAAAAAATGTAGGAAGTGTCGACAAGGTGCATCATAAAAATAGTGAATTCATTAATTGAACACCTTGAGGAAAATGAGCAATTGAATGTGCTGAAAGAAATGAGGTTTGAATCTTTGATAGGAGTAAGGGATCGACCAATTCAGAGGGAATTGTTTCGATCCTTGGTGGAGCAATTCGATGTCCAACAATGTATGGTTAAATATGGTGATTATTCATTTTCTCTGGGGGTCCCATATGTTGCAGTCGTCTTGGAGTTAGAAAATAAAGGCAAAATTGTTATAGAAGTCAGTAAGACTAGTAAATGGAAAGCACTTGCCTCTAAATATGATTTGAAGCACAAGGTGACATATACTGAACTTAAAGAGGAAATCAAAAGTGGATCTTACGAGGGGGATAACCTGAAGTCCCGAGTTCTATTGTACCTTGTCGAGATCTTTCTTTGTCCAACGGGTGATACATCAACGAGCAAGGACAATATGAAGCTAATTTGCGATGAAGGCTTGAAAGGTGAATTAAATTGGGATGAATATGTCTATTCGAGATTGATTAAATCAATAATCAGCTTTCAAAAGGGCTACTAGAGATACCTCAAATGGTGCATAGTAATCTTAGAGGTAAATGAGTTGAAGAACGTTTTTGTTTTTTTATATAAAATGATAGTATAGTTATTATATAAAATGATAAATTTAATTATAAAAGCATGTTACACTGTTCGAATTTTGGTCGGACCTTAATAGTGTGTCGGTATATGAAAGAACCAGAGTG